CTTGCTGAAAGGGCCTTGGTGGAGGACGAGATAAGAGGATGAGATGGGGAAGGAGCATATTTGGGCTTGGAGGAGGTAAAGGTGGGATGAAGATGATAGATCAGAGGAGGGAGATATTCTGGTGTCACTAAAATGGACGAGTCACGCGCTCCTCCACGAGAACATGCTGCCTTCGGTGAACAGCGCTCGAGATCAGTACCTTCTTCCACCTCACACCTTTGCTATTAGTTTGGCTAGCTGGTGTCAGGAACACCTCTGTCCCTGCCGCGCTTCGATTTTTATCGCCGCTTTTAGGCAGATTCTGCAAATGGAGACGCTGGTGGTCATGATGAATATGGTTTAAGGCTTGGGGTTAATTAGCCCTCCCTTACTTCTTACTGCTGTGTGAATTGCTAACTATTGTTGGGTGGCATTCCCTAACCTCATTGAGTCGACTGCCTTAGACCAGCTTTCAACCGATTATGGGCACTCATGTTTCCCGTACACCTCCAGAGGTTATTGGAAGATAATAGTGATGTCCTTTTATTAACTTCCTCAGCAGATTGTCAAACATCAAGAAATGGTGCGTTTCATTCACGACTTTAAGAGATATCAACCGAAAACTTAAGAGAATAAGAATGGGGCAGTACATTCCTCTAGTGCGTTACGACAGCCTCTCATGGGTACAGATTACAGTGATGAAGATCGGGTCTTGCGTGGACTTTCAAGCATAACACCTACTATATACTGACCGACTATACCTTACTGTGTTAAAAAGATTCTTCCTAATCACCCTCCATTTGTATAGAAATCCATTACGAGGACAGATCGGAGTCATCATTCTCGTTCGGTCTTCCGTGATTCACCAATTCGCCAATGACCACCTGCACCTACAGTTCATCACACACTACCTACACACACAAGGCATATCCTCTTGGATATAAAGTGGTGCACGCTTCACAGCTATGAAGCAACCCGATGATAAAATGTCCATTCACCCAGCGGACGTGGCAACACAAACCACTTCCCACCAAGCTATTTGCAGGTTAGTCTTCCAGTAGGCCAGTCGGTCAGCAAAACATTGCACGCATAACAATTCACTGCGTACACAGGGTAAGTGGAAAGATAAACAAATTCATGGCTTGCCAATCCCACTCTCTGACACCTGTCAAGCCGTGGCATCTGAAGGCACTCATGTGCTCACCCTCCACCCATACAACCCCTTCAAAGGTAATGATTCAATTGCTGTATCATCACGCACATTAGACATCACTGTTGGTTACTCGAGACATGTTGATCTTCAGTGGCCTTAACCAAAAGGGACATGCAATTCTTTGTTGGTCAAAACGGAGGGTCTTCCTTAAAGCAATGTCATTCAAGTAGCTCAACATCACCACAAATTGTTTGAACCATTTGATAACAGACTATACGTTTTACTATTGCCTACTCCACCCTTTTCAAATGCTAAAAATAGCCTGACAAAAGACTACATTCTCTTTTTGGCCTTAGAACAGAAGTAAACCTTAGTCGTGAAGTAGACAGACTAGAACCACACTAATTTTAACTAATAATCATAAGAGCTTAATCCGAGAACATTGGAAAATATCATATTGATACTGACGCCTGCGTTTTACAAGCCCCAACGAGTGAATGCAATGAGTTCCGTTAATAACTGCATGAACTGCTTCAACCATCTTGTGGATTTTTGGGGCATCTGCGATTAGGTGACATCAAATGTAAAAATAACAGGCGAGAAGAAATTGCTGAGCATTAGCAATTCAAACGAAGAGAAATGGTATGCATGCCTTGGACAAACTATATTTGGTTATTGTTGTGGCGCTCCGCGTCGAGAGTTGCAGCATTAATGTTGTTCTTCCAGTTGGTAGCGGTGGTGGAGTGTTCGAGATAACGGATATTAACTGAGAAAACATCAACTTTCCAAAGGAATTAATTAGTGCACCAGAGGGCGACATTTCCTTTTTTTCACAGTTCTCCAATTCAAACGATGATTGGCCATCTCCAATATCCGTTCCACTTCCTACTTACGCTTGCTCACCTAGTGAATTCTAATTGCGGCTCGCAGAGTTCAAGTGGATGCACATCATCATAGACGGACATGGTCACTCCTCTTCTGAACCAAGACGATGGTACGGTAGGCGTCGGTGCAGAATGCAGTTAATGCACGATGACAGAAGAAATTGAGGCATAATCTGACCTTCTCCTCAGTTCTGTAGCCTCGCTACTATGTCATTTCGTATTGTTTAACGCTGAAATGGGAACGCCATGTGATCTTACTGTCGATGTAGACGGATTCGGTTTTAGTGCAGCTGCTTTTTAAGTAGATCAAAACTGCTGCGCTTGGAATGGATCTTCGGGAATGCGCTTTTGATGCTAAGGTCTGTCTGTCCTGCTACTTCCGTAAGATCCTTTTCGTAACTAATTATTTTGCAGAATATGCCATTTTTGAGTTTTTATTTACTGAGGAAGACATGTCTGGGATTGACTCCATTTGCATAAAATATGATGTGACAGAAACGATTCTCCCATTGACAGAAAATTTAAGGCCAAATCCCTTAGTCTGATTATTTATCCATCTATTAATCCGTCTATCCCTTCCGTTTTCATCTATACACCAATTCATCCGTCCATTTATTGGCCTATTTACTTATGTTAGACTTTGATTCCTAGAGGTGTTTGATGACAAACAAATGCGGATGTAGGACCAAAATAGAAGTAGAGTTGCTAGATGACCGGATGCATGGGGATTTGCTGGTGCCTTTTATACCTTACAGCATTCAACATCAACAACAGCTGCAGCGGAGATGTAGACGCCTTTACCGACACGGGGCGTGTCGCCTTCCCCTTATTAGACCGTCGAGGAGTGAAAAAAGTCCGGTTCCCCAGCTTCACCTGCACCTTGTACACTACGTCTTCCTCTCCTGCTACAGGATCAATGACACTGGAAGTAGTGGTGATGGTAAGAGGAGTGTCGCCTTTTTTCCTGCTATTGCCGATTGCGCTGTTCCCAATGCCGCTACCACTGCCTCTCCTGTTCCACCGTAGATGCACCTACTCTGATGGTCTTTTAGAAAATGCTACTCTAGAAGTTGATTTACAGCTTTTCACAACTCATTAGCAGCAGATTTGGGTTTCACTGTCATGAGGACTAAGGCGAGGGCAACTGAAGAGTTGAATTAGAGTTCCAGAACTGGGCGTTAGAGCTCGCACTATGTTGTGGAGGTTCTCGGTGATCCCAGTTTTAGTAGGTCTGTATATCTGATACAACTGTTTTCAGCAACAGTGATGCCTGAAGTTCATGAAGATTGCTTTGTAAAGCGGCATAGAAGCCTTTATGCATTTTTTGAATTCTTTTGATGACTACAGTGCTATGAAAAGCGGTCATTACTGTTTTGATTGGACTGTCATGAGCGTAACTAATAACTTGCTCCCCTAAAATTGAAGAGTCCATGAAATAAGGAATTGACCCAAGCGCTTTGTTCATATGACCTTCTACAAATGGATGAGTAAGTCATATTTGGAATTTGCACTTTCACCTCCTATCACGAGTGAGCTCGTTGGTGGCGATTGTCGGAGCAGCGGTGTGTGACCTGCCACCCTCCGTGAGTCCCGTGAGTCAGTGAGTGGAAACGAGTGTGGATACATCCATCTCCCTGATAGATGCTATCACTCATCTCCACCGCCAAGCTTATTTCTCTCTTCGTCTCATTCATCCCTTGATCCAACTTAACCTTTTGCCATGAAACACACGCACATTTTCCCCTCCACTGCTGCTTTGAACTTATTTCTCACCCCATAATCATGTCGGCAGACTATTGAAGATGGTAGGAGTAGTTGATATCTTATGAGTTTGAAATGAATTACCAGTTACGATTTCGGAATTGGCAGTTAGATTTGTGTAATTTATCCGCACTCGATTGGATTCTCTGCCATTGCTCATCTCTCCAACGGTTTCGGATCCTAACCATCATCTCAAATCGACCACAGACAGGGCTGGGTCACACACCAGTGAATGCAGGCTACAGACTGAAACACTATTTAGCCAATTACTCCCACTCCTCGCTACTCATGCGGATAACGATGCAGTCAAATGCAAGCCTTTTAGCAGAATATTTAGAGTGATCCCCACCCTTAACCTCGGTTACCATCTTTTCCTATATATCCACAACCACCACCAACGACACATTCTTCATTATGATAGATGGGTAGAGTAGACCGATTCGATGGGGGCTTTCTTAATTAATATCATTATAAATAGGGCATGGTGAACAATATTATATCTGTTTAGAGTAAGCACCCTTCTCCAATATAGACGACGACCAGTTCTTAAAGAAATTTTAATTTTACCGATCGCTTCTTGTCTAAAAGTTGCATTTAAGCAAATATGTATTTTTTAGTCCCTTCGTCTTTTAGAGCACTGCCACTCATGCTACCCCTATGGGCGGTCTGCATATATCACTTCAGTTGGTGCACAAACTATATCTTCGGATCCGACAGGAAGTGTACCTTTCCAGGGCTACTTTTAATGTGATGCACGGTGATTGACTGAGGATGGAGTTGTACATTGCAGCAGAAGTATGTTGTTGGTTAGATGATTTTCATCACTCAGTGTGTATTTGCCCTACGGATTATGGAACTTGCAATGTACTTCACGGAGCTGCACCAGCTCATATAGTAGTACAAAGTCGCCTTTCTGATAGATGTTAGTCTTGCTGTGATATCGCATGTGTTTCTGTGAGCTGTTTAAAGCCTGCCTAATCCTTTCTTTGGTCGAACAACACATTCCCAGACACTGTGGAATGCTACTTCCGTGTTCTATAAGAAAGTATTGCTTAGCAATCGTATTTTATACACCGTAAGAATCTTGCAAAGTGGAATGCTAGCTGATGGATAAACTGTAGCTTTGTACTTAAATAGGTTTGACAAAGGCTTAAACCCTGGTGTTTCAGTTGCACGTCTCTAGTGAAAGCCTGCAGCAGACAAGCCAGAGCCTTAGCAATATGTGTTGACACAACCTCAGTCTGTGCACCGTCTCTGTCGCCACCACCATCAACATTCTTCAATATAATAGACGGACAGAGAGAGTGGTTTCACTATCTCAGTACGGCTCATTGCATCATTTGGTCTGCTTTCCTACTCGCAGTTAACTCCGGCAGTGGTGGGCATTCATCGGGGTGGTATTCCACCACCGCATCGATGCTAACTGACTTCTTAACCTTACTAAATGGATGCCTATTAGTCATTCCTTCCACTAGTGCTCCTGTGGCTGCTGTCCTGCAACATTCGGTAAGAAAACAGACAAGGAGGTGAATTTGGAGATGTGCATTTAGTTCTAGGAAGAGTACTGTGTGATCTGAAACTCGGCAATATTTAAAGAATAATGGTTCTCATGCAGCAAAGTTGGCTATTACCTTTACCGCACACACCCTAGTAAAGTTGATGGGACATCGGATGTGTTTTGATTATGAATATCTATGTTAAAATGAAATTTGAATATCACAGTAGGCCATCAAATTAATTTAAAAGCTTACGTATTG